CTTAAGATAGTTTAATATGCAATTTAGATGCTGAAACTCTTCAAAGTGTTCGTAACCTTGACAATGAAGTGAATGTCACCAAAATCGACTGGCCCTTGCCCTTTTCCTCTAGATGAAACCTGGTGTTAAATATGAAGAAAGCCTTAATGAAGGGTTCTTGAGATATCTCGCTGAACATCTTAACATGCAAAGTTAACATACTGAAATTCAGTGTCGCTGTGACCTTGAAAATTAAGGGTCACGAAAATCGGCTACCCTGCGCCTTCCCTATGAGATAAAGCTTCTGGCGTTGAATATGAAGAAAATTACGTTAATGTCATGCGACAGACTGGGCCCTGCGCCATCTCTAGATAAAGCTTAGTGAGGGTTCTCGCTGACAAGAGTAAAACGTTAAAGTCCCCTGGTAACCTTGAAATGAAGGTCAAGGTCACCAAACCTGACTTGGGCCTTTCTTATGCTGTGATGAACCTAGGTACCAAATATGAAAAGAATCTAGTCAACGGTTTTAAACATATTCTAATTCGCACGTACGGACGGACGGAGTCTTATACTATATCCCCGCTTCGCACTAAACGCCAGACGGGGATAACAAACAAACAAACATTCTTACGCTGGATGTGAACATAACGGGAAAGGACCAAGTAAATATAGAAAACAACAACAAAGGGTCTACAAATGTTGATCCTAATCGTCCGCTGAGGACTGCACGGGATTTATACCAATTGGGCTTGTGATTTAGGGAGTTGGGGTAACTTCAAGAGACAACGCGATTGCCAGCGTCTGAACGAAAATATCGTCCTCAAACTAGTACCAGTTCGTAAAATGGCTTCAACAACAGCATTGTTCGAACAGAGTATGGAAATACATCGGCAGTGATCAGTATAGTGTGTGTTCGATGAAGGAGCTTCTGCTTGCCACGTTATGGTTTACTGAAAAGCGCAAACAACTGACCAATGTTCAGCGCTATTACAAATTAACACGCTGAAGCTACATGACCAGCAGGATTTCATGTTCCGTCCACTCTCCTTTGTTTCGATGCTTAACAAATATTTATTCTGCCTCATCTTTATGTTTGTTTTATAAATGCACTTCGACGAATATTTTGATAACGTTTTATACACGACAAAACAGATGCGTCAGGAGTTCCATGACCCCAATCAGCCAGCCTGCTGATTTCACTTGAAGCCTGGTCGTGATACTTTTGTTTTATCTATATTCATATCCATGCTACACACGCTAAGAACATATATAACCTAACTTATATGCTAAATATATTCCATGAATTGTACTGAACAGTCAACAATCAGCAGTATTGAATCAGCAATACTGAAGCAATTTGCCTATATGACGCAATGTTTTAAAGAGTTGACTTTCCTTTTGTAAAAATACCATGGAATGGTAAGATTTAAGGGTCTGAAATTTGACTAGTAATTTTGTCTTGAAATAATAGCATTCACCTAACAGGAGATATAGACTGTTCTTTTCCAAAACGTGAATAAATACTAATAATACTATGAGGTTTTAATTAGGTTTTAGAACGCGCTCCCTCCTTGTACATGCTATACACATTCTCACTTAGTACTGATGGACCTCAGACGCCAGTAGTCTCATAGTTCCAGAAAGTCGTTATTTCCTTTCTGATAGCCTTGTCCATACACAACAGCTAACAGACCGGAATATTGCAGAGTGCAGCCATAAAAATACAACCAACCCAAACAAATACAATTATTAGACTGTATCTGATAAACCAACGAAGAAACGTTCGTTGTTATTGATTCTGTAAAAGTTGAAATGAAAAAGAATCGTTCCCTTATTGATAATACAAGTACATATTGATTTCAGCCCCGTGAAACAATGAAGTGATCTTTGAAAATGATTTTGGCTCAAAGATAAAAAAACACATCAATAAACAAGTCAATTTGAGTTCAGTAAGAGGCATTTAGAATTGGAGCACTAAGGATAAGAATATATGGATGGACAACTTTTTTATTACAGCGAGATGGACTTTTCGGTGTAGGTTCTTACACCGTTATCAAGCAAATGTTTAACAGAATAAGGATTGACAGGCACATATACACTCTTCAAAAAAAAGAAGAAGAAATCTTAGGTGATTTTGAGAATATTGGACTCATGCAGCTGCAGCTAAAAACAATACAAATATACTATTTCTTTCCAAATCGTCATCTTTGTGTAATTGTCATCTTCAACGCCAAAACGCGGTAGCTTTAACTTGTTCTCTTGTTTTAGAAGCATTTGAAGAAATATTCGACAAAACGTCACCAAGAAAACATGCAAAGGAAAATGCAAGTGCATGTAAGCGGAGAGCATGCAGTATCGATCACAAAAAACCACGCAAACTTTGTGTTTAATTTTGTTATTCGGGTTTGCCTGGAAAAACCACGAGTGCCGCCAATCAAAACAAAGGCCGCCTTGAAGCTGGCGAGTCGAAGTCTGCAGTTGCCCAACATTTCGACGTATCTCGCCTTTGGGATCGTTTCCTGCAGACCAATTCCACCCAAGATTGTCCGAGAAGCGGGCGTCCAAGAATTACCACTTAAATTACGGACATTTGACAGCAAATCGGTACGTCAACGAATTCCTAGCGCGTCACATGCTTCCGATTATGGACCGATAGAGGGAGTTTTCCAGCATGACAACGCTACTTCACATACAGCACGCGTCGCTGTCGCTACCTTGCCAATTCTAACGTCAATGTCTTGCTATGGCCTTCCTGATCACCTGATCTAAAACCCGATAGAACACCTATGGGATGAACTCAATCGACGTGTAAAGTAAATGTCAAAACACGCCTCAGACATTTCCACAACTGGCCATCGCATTGCGGGAAAAGTGGGGAAGAATTATTAAGTCTGTGCCGAGACGGTGCCGAGCAGTAATTTCTGCCACTGGTGGCCATATAAAGTACTGACTTTGACGCCATCTTGTGGACACAAGTAAACAGAAACACAACAATAAAGGCTGTTGTTGTGTTGGCGAACTCTTTGTCTATAGTCGTGTGAATTTTCATCTTTTTACATGAAATAATTGCTCTTGAACTAACGCAATAAATTCTTCTAAAATGGCTTATGCGTTTCTTTTTTGTGAAGATCGTACTAGTGTGAGGAAGTGACTATACACTACAATGGGGATTAAGATTGCAGTGTTATGGGGAAGCCAGTTAACATCACATTGGCTTAGATGGATAGAAGCGTTAACACGTTAAGTCTGCAGTATAATCAGAGGGAGTTGTGACTGTTTGGGGATCTTTGATGAGTTGATAAAGATTGTTAGATAACTGTGGATTAACACATGTAATAAAGAATGCAAGAATGTACGATAAACGATGGCCAGTTGCAACGATCGAAAGAACATTAACAGATCAATAGTATTTGTTAAACCCGGTATAGTTGAAAACAGTACAAAAACTAAACTACTATAGAATGTTAAAAAATATGCCTTCTTTTGATAATTATCTGTTGCTACCACCTGCACTATCATACCCGTTACTGACATTTAGAAACCTCAAATCATTACTTTCTTGGAGAGCGGTTGTTGGTATAATGTACTATGTGGTCAGTAATTGCTGACGAATTACATTACCTCTTCAGTCTTTACAGAACCTAGATCGAAGTTCATCAGTCCACATTATTATAATGTTCCTAACCTGTACAAAATTAAGAACCATCTCAGCTAAAATAATGTGTCCATTTTAAAGAAGCTGTCTAAATTTGTTGCAATAATAAAGTGTATTCTTAAACCAAAATGTCGTTACATCTCATGTCGTTCGTGTTACTTCCAGTACTGCTGTTTGTAAATGTATGCTCTTCTATCACCGTTGGTAGGTTTTAAGAATAAAAACCTTGAACCATGATGATTTGAAGCAACTCAGGATGACTGACGTTTATCAACCAGGACCGTGTGTAACCATCTCAAGGCTCTTGGTTTGACGTCCGAAGGATCATCAGGGGTCCAAATCTCACTCATGAACATCAAAGGCAACTCTGCAGTGGTGCTTTGTTCGACGATACTAGAATATTCACACCCACAGAAGGATCCATTGGTCAAACGAACGCAGGTTCCTGCTTCATGTTACGGTTGGTCGTCTTAGAGTTTGAAGGCGCATTAAGACTGGTTATATGCCGAGAAACATTCATCCTACTGTTCCTTTTGGCGGAGGTTTAGGTACGGTGTTGGGATGTATATCCCAAGACTGTAAGTTGACATGGGTTACTGTAATGGGGAAGTCTTAATGCTGCATCACGGACATTCTTGGTCATGCTGCTGTGGCTCAGTGTTATAACCACCCATTCGCTTACTTATCCATATTCACTGACCACAACGCTAGGCCCGCATGGAGCCCTGATCAGAATATCATCGAGCAGATCTGGTAATTATTGGTCGTCATGTTCAGGCACATGTCCCTCCTGTACAAAATGAGGATAATTGGAGTCAGCATTGGATGAGGAGTGGTGGCAGTCGCTTTGGGAACGTATCTGTAGGCTCACTGGTGGCATAAGGATAAGGGTGAAGGCAGTCATCCAGTCAAGTGGCATCCATGCACGGGATACTGATGTCAAACACTTCGGTAAGTTTCATTCCAACATTTATATTAAAAAAGAATTCACATTTAATGAAAAGCGTAAGAAGTCCTAATTCATGCAAAACGAATTGAAACAACTATAGTGGACTGAAATAATTCTACAAGAACTACTGTCTAGTGCCCCAGCTGACACTCATTGGCTGTTCATTGTGACCACGTGTTTATGAATCAATAACAGATAGTGATGACACAGGATGATGTCGAAAATGAACCTTCTTCTGTCCCATCGACGGCACCAGTGACAAACATTAGCACAAATAAAAAAAACCCGTCGTAAAGCTAAACTCACTCACTTACTCATTATCTATACAACCTGACTAACACGATCAGTCAGGTGGACGGACCCAGGTCAGGTGGACGAACTGTCGGCTAGTCGTGGCGTCGGCCAATGCCGTCGCCTCACGAACGACAACGACGTTTTGTCTCCCATCCGTCAACATCCTGCAAAACGAACTCTTGGACATATATAAGAAACTTATCCCATACTGTTTAAAGGCAACAGGAAAACCATTAATGTAAACATACCACCATGTAATAATGGATACCCTCGCGCAACACGTTGATAAATAGAATGTTATGTTTGACAAAGTACGTTTGTTTGATATGTTAGATATCCAAGCACAAATCCTGCTCATAGACATCCCATGCTGGGTTTCCCGTAGTCAGTCCACTGCTGTTTCCGCTAGAGGAGATCTCACACAATCGGGATTCTCTTCGAAAATTGAAAGCAGGACAGGAACCAAGTTGCAGGCAGAGTGTTGCACAGTCCATAAAGGACCTTGTCTCCATCTCAACAGGCACTGTCAGGTCGATCTTCTTTTCAGGTGTTTGGTTAAATATGACTCCTGAAAACACAACGATATTACATTAACATGATAAAGCAAAGTGTCTATAGCAAGTATGAGAATGTGCAAGCTTATGTATGTTTATGAAGCATTAGCAGTATCACATCCGTCACATGTGACTGCTTCTTTTTTTTAAAATATGGGTCATTTTTCCCATTTTCAAGTATAACAAAATAAAGATATACAGTAACATATATAACAATACATAACAGCATTTGTGGAGCATGGTAGTATTTAAGTGAGGTTTTTTAATAATGATTTACAAATAGCACTAGATGGATATTACATACAAGAGTATATACAACAGATGACACTAAAAGTGTAGTACGTTATAATTATTCTTTTGACTTGCAGTGATGTACAGAGAATACCAATAGTCGTGTAGAGTATTTGCCAGTTTGAGCAAATAAAGAGATTTGGGGGATAATTAACCCCTGGGGAAGATTTGGGGAAGTCTCAGCAAACAAAATATGAAATGATGACCAGAAATTGATGAAACTTGAAACTTGACAAGTCTGAAAATAATTTATCTTTGTTGCCTCATAATAATTATCTCTGCTTCTTTTGATTTGGTGAGTGAGTGAGTTTAATTTAAGTCAGGTCTGCAGTATTTCATATTGTGACTTCATCCAGTTGTACAGTTATACGATAATTTTAAGCAATGCATTTCAAATTGTGTATTCAATCTAAGTTTAATATACACTTACTATTTACCATTCTTATATTTTCTAATCACAATGTATCTATTACTTCAATTTCTTCCAATAAAGCAATAACTAAACGACACAAAAAGGATCCTGCATGGATGAAACCATTTTAATGTTAAGGATAGTCAAACCCCACGGTCATGTCCTGGCCTGTTTAACGAAGACAGCCGTGCTGAGAATCAACCGTGTCCATTTTTTTGCATTATTACAACTTATTAATGAACATAACTGTGAAGTGTTAGATTAAGATGAAAGTCTGAATAATGTCTAAATGAAATAAGTAAACAGCTGCAAAAAATGAGTCATGACATTTATTAGTTGGTTAGGAAAGTATATTAAGAACTGTGTTAACAAATGCTTACCTTGTGATTGGTTTTCGAATTCATATACTTCGATTTCACATAAGAACATTGGGTCTTTCTGCATTAGACGAACAAAACGTCCTCTCACTGGAGTCGAGCAGGCGACTGTTTTCGCCACACCCGTTTGGAACATTCCAGTGTACCCAAAGCAAAGCCGTGGATTTGGTGGACACTTTGGATCGGGGTATATGACTAGTTGAAAGTCTTTTGGTAATCCATCTGCGAAAAGGTTGTTTATTAAATTTGACGATGAATTTGTTATATCTGTCTATAATAAAACGTACGGAATAAAAGCGGATTTGAACATTTTGAGAACGATACAATTACCCATAAAGACCCATTACAAATGACAGAGAAACAGACAGTGTGTGAGAATGGTTTTACGGAGTCTTAGCAATTTTGGAAGAATGAATCACCACAGGAATCTGAACGCAATAACTCACGGGAGGCAAACGCTTAAACACACAATATTCGCAAAGTTTGAAGAAAACAACAATATGACAGTACCGAGGTGAGACAATCTCATGTTTAGCGATGAATACCAAACTCTCTGGCACAGTGGCCCGCTTTCTGTTTTCAAAAGATTCTATTATTGCAATATTGCAGCCATATCATGAAAATAACATACATGCATATCCGGCAGGAGTGATCCTGACACTGCCTACTCTGACAGTCGCCTGAAGATCCACCTGCCACCATCCTGAAATAGAATATGTCTCCACGAAGGTACAGTACAGACCATTCGGGACGTCCATGACTGTGAAATTGAGCCCATCCACAGCTTTATCCGGTCCCGTGTGACCAGCGTCATGACTTGCTGTTGCCGGGCGAAGGAGTGCAAGATTTGTGGAACCTAAAATAAAACAATGTGGTAGATTAGTATCAACAGTGGTGTAGGGGAAGAAGTAGGGGTACATGTACTAAACCCACCAAAAAGAAGGAAACCACATGTGTTACTTTATGTCCCAAACAAACCATATAGAACAAAGTGAGTTGCTGTTTTATAAATCTTGTTTATGGATTAATGACCGTACACTAAAACAGACTTAGACATTAAGATATGGTTGGGGTCACTTCTTGATTTCACAGGAACCAGTTATATGTTCACTACTACGTGTGGCCACCTCTCGCATTCACAATAGCAAGCAATGTTGAACACAGCATTAGTCAACCTGCGCCCTTCTTGTACCAGCATGGCGCCCCTGCTCTCAAAGCACGAAGACATCTTTAGAAAACACCCCATACGTATCCAAAGGGGTGGAGGTCAGGTGATCTCAATGGCCACTCCATAACGTCAATATCCGCATTTTCAGGACACTCAGCCATGTGCAAATGCAATATGCTCGGCGTAGACGATCGTTACGGTTAACCTTTGTCAGAATCGGCCCAACACAAGGACGTCGGGCAAGAAGACGGTCAGTGCGTAAACGGTTGTGTATGGGTTGGGCAGTTACCCGACCACGAAACAGCGGCGCTTGAAAAACGAATACGCAAATGACGTAGCTGTATTTGGTTGTCCGAGGTATATGAGTGACTGAGTTAAAGCCATGTTAGTTCTATCTAACCCCTATCGTGAGTAAAAAAATCTATATATCAGTAAAAGCCAACTCAGATGCAATAAATACAGTGAAATCACTAGATTATCACTGAATTTATCTTAATAACAGTACGTAACGATAAACATATATGTCTCTAAAGAACAATACAATATATATCTACCTTCAGTTGTTGGCGATCTATAGTCCATTTCTTTACTGTATTGTCCTATTTTGAAATCCAATTTTGAGAGAGAGTGAGTGAGTTAAAATTTATAGTCACATCGGCAGTATTTCAGCCATATGGTGACCAAGAAAGTTGTAATGTTATAAATGAATAAAAACAAAGCACAATAAAATAACTAAAAAATCACTGTAAAACTAGTGTGAAAATCTGAAACACCTTAACTAAACAACAATACAATATATGTCAACCTTCAGTTGTTGGCGATAGTTAGTCCATTTCTCTATTTAGAACGGAAGCTACCTCTGTCTGTCTAATATGTACAGTACAACCAGAATTTATTGAGAATTTAAGATTGTATTTTTATTTATTTTTTACTCATTACTCACGTATTAAATGTGAATATTAGCAGAACATAACTTCAGATTCAAAGACAGGAGAACAGTTAGACTTTTGTCAAGTCACCATGGGCAGCAATGCAGGCTTCAATGCGGCGGGGCATACTACTGATCAAAGAATTTAGAAAATCGTGGTCCATGCTGTCCCAATATCGGACCATCTCTTCTTTCATTTCAGCAATATTTGTCAGATTTTTCTTATTGACACTTTCCTTCATAAGTCCCCAAACATTTTCTATTGGATTTAGGTCAGGGCTATAGCTTGGCCAATCTAATAATGTCATATTTTGGGTCCGAAACAAGGCCTGTGAACGATGTTTTGGGTCGTTGTCCTGCTGGAAAATCCAAACATTTCCATAGAACACGTGAGCACATGGAAGTAAATGTCCCTCGAGACAATCTGTGTACCGCTCACTGTTTATATTCCCTTCAAATACAAAGAGGGGCGTTGCCCCTAACACAGATATGCCACCCCACACGTTAAATTTCGGACTGTACTTTGGACGCTGATACAAAGGTTTTTCAGTTTGTTTGGTCCAGAATTTCAGTGTATTAGGAAACAGCCACACAGGCCTTTCATCTGAGAAAATCACATTGTCCCAGTTAAAATTTCTATGCTGAAGCACAGTTCAACCTTCGCTCCTTTTGTTCAGGTTTCATGATTGATGATGGAATTCCTTGACATTTCTGCCAACCCATTGCATGCAGCTCAGTTCTAGTTGTCTCCTTACAGACAGCCACAGTTCCTCTATCAGTCATATCCAGCCTTAAGTTTTCTAAAGTCCTTCGTTTGTTTTTAGAAACAAGAATACCAAGCCGCCTCCTGTCACTGACATTCAATTTTCTGGGCCTACCTGCGCCTCCTTGGTGCTCAATGTCATATCCATTTGCAATATTTTTCAAACACGATAAACAGTGAACAAAGTACGAAGCTCCTGAAGGGAATCCGTACCGACTCCGGTAGATTTATCAACACCTCAAGAAGATGATCTCCCTGTTATGGACACAAGATCTAGAACCAGAAGACGCCTGTCACATGTACAATCGTCACCAGAACAACGATCCAGCAACGCTACTGTCTGACATTCTTTTGAGAATGATGGTTCCCTCCCAGACATGTCTTTTTACGAATCTGAAAGTGCACCAGAGGCTCCATTTGTCCCAGATCGGTCACCAATGCATTCTGATCTGCTATCAACAGCTATGGATTTAGCAGGTATAGAATCGTACCAAAACGTGATAAATCACCCACAAAGGAACACAAAATAAAACTACACAGGGGACAGGTTCTTAAGGAACGCATTGATAACTTCAAGTGTGTTAACCCATGCAAGGATCTTGTGTCCATTCAGATGATCAACCGAAATGGTCAACCTGAGTTGGCAGAGGACGGAGGGGGTGTTACTCGTGATGCCTTGTCTGAATTCTGGGATGAGTTTTATCAACAGTGCACTCTCGGAAACGCATTCAAAGTGCCTTACATTAGGCACGACTACGGCTTTGAAGAATGGCAGTCTGTTGCCAATATAATTGTGTTTGGCTGGAAAGCATGCGGTTATTTCCCTTTTCAGATATCACCAGCTTTTCTATGGAAGGTCATCCCGGGATCGGAAAAATGAATTTCTGTCCAAATCACAGAAAATGATTCTCAAGTTCTAACCGCAGCATTAGCTGATATACATTCTGTTGACAACGATGATCTACTGGATGTGCTTAACCATCATGAAGTGAAAATATTGCCAACACAAGAAAACCTGAACAGTATCCTTCTTGAAATTGCGCATAAAGAAATAACTCAAGCCAGAATGTTTGTCGTAAATTGTTGGCAGACATCTCTGCGGCCTCTTGGGATAAGCAAAGACCTTTTCGATTCACTGTACAGGGATATGCTGCCAACGCGCAAGTTGGTGATGAAGTTACTGAAATTTCCGGAGACAATGTCACTCGAGACAACAGTGGCAAATCACCTTCGTAGATTTTTGCGCGAACTGGACAGGAAACAGCCGATGCGATACCTCAGATTTTGTACTGGTTCTGACTTGATAGTATGCAAGAAGATTGACGTTACTTTCGTAAATGTAACTGGCCTAGCACGGCGACCAGTAGCAGACACATGCTCCTGTCTACTTGAATTGCCCAAGACATATGACAGCTTTCCAGAATTCAGGAAGGAATTCATGTCCGTTCTGTCTTCCAAACATTTGGCTCATGGACATCATATGATCAACATGACACCGTTACTTATCTTTGCTTTGTGATTGCATAGGCAGCGACACTTTTATTAGATTTAAGCTTTGTTGGGAAAGTGAGCTAAGCACTTTCTGTGACGATGCCATTTAGGTTTATGTGGTACTCCAAACTCTTGAAGTAACAGGGACCCTTTTAATTTCTTTGACCACGTTAATTACACTTTCAGGTGGTCCTAAAATCTGGAACTAACTCTTTTAATGTTTTTGATGATGTTATTTAAGTTTGTTAATACGGTGCTCCACAAAGTTTACTGTGGAGTTTTTATAGTACTAGATTGATATTAGTATATTAAATTGTGAAGAGATAGCCTTGATGGTGAATTTTACGTTTCTTTGATGGTGTATTTTACCTTTCTTTTGAAAACACGTGTTGCTCAAAATCTTGAAATAAATCATTATATATGACGTTATAGGTTTAATGTGTTTCAATATGTTAGTCTTGAAATGGCAACATTTGTTAGCTTAGAAATGTGAAATATGACCTCCTTGCTGAACCAGAAGGGAAATTCAAACATTTAACCGGTTAACAAACGGAAGGTTTAAATAATTAGTTTGTATTTAGTTTGAAAGTATCGAAACGCATCATTCGTGTAAGTCACAATATCAGCTTCTGTACTGCAAAATAGCGATTTGCCGCGTGAGCAGAAAAAAATTGTGACGCCGTTCAGTCATCAATGTTATTGTCTTATAATTCCATCCATTTCCATTTCCTTACAATCATGACGTTGCGGGCTCGAATCCTCTATTCGGCGGGTAGCAAACACTTAGCCATGATCTGGTGACAGACAACCTATATCACTCGAAGTCACTCCAGCTTAAGGTGTAAGTTTGGGATGCAATGCTCTAGGGACCATTCTTAGAGTGCCATTCATATTGTGCAAGTACCAGTCTGTTCACGTGGGTTTACTAAAGTACTTGCTTGTAATGTAAATGCGATATGCCCTTAGCTGTTGATAGACACATAAAACACCGTTTCCACCATCGCATTTCCATTCCCATGTTCAATAGTACTTATGTCATGTTCCCCGGTGTATATATACTGAGACTGTGTCAGGAATTGATAACGTATTTTCATATTACCAAGAACCACTATTATAACTTCCTAGATTGACTGCATGTGTGCTGAAGGCTAAATGCAATACTTTATACACCAGTCTTTTGTCTCACTGCAATACAACATACACCTGTCTTATGTCTGTGTACAACCCTACATACATCCGTGTTATGTGTTTTAACTACATTTATCACCCAAAAATAGGTTCTACCAGTGATATCGCTCTTCTGAGAACAAGCGGAGATATCATCCAAACAATACCATTATATCACAAAGCTATCCTTATGCGATCACAATAACGACATGACCCGAGTGATGCCACAATAGCCCATTATTAAATGGGCTATTGTGGCATCACTCGGGTGAGATTCTCCATACATCAGTCTTACTTTCAGTACAATACTACATACATCATTCTTATTTCTCAGTACAA